GACCATTGAAGTCCCTGCATATCATTAGAAGGCAAGGCAAGGCAGGCCCGAGCTGGAGGAAGACGCTATTAATAGCAGCGAGGGTGATTGTTTCGGCTTCACTAGAGAATGGCTGGGCTTCGACAGAGATGCACAGATACTGCAGGTGCAGTCATATTTTCATAGAGCTCAAACCACTGACGCCAGAAAGCCTTTTGAAAGGATCTCACTGAGTCACAGTCAAAGCTGTGAGTGAACATTTAACTAGATCTTGATGTATGTTCACAGAGACAAATCATCAGTTACCCATAGATAAATATAGGTATGAAACACTGTTTATTGGCAGTGGCCGTTATGTCTGCTCTATAAACGCGTGTCTGCATCACATATTGAATGGAGTGCAGCTGCTGTGATGCATTACTATATATTACATTAGTGTGTGTTTCCACTGACATCTGCTGGACACGTACTGCACTGCATCAGCATGTCTTTTTATTGTCTTTTTTTAAATGGTCATGGCAAAGAACATACAAAAGTCAATGCCAGTGGTAAGTGCAATCTAAAACAAAACTGCAGGTTACAGAATGAGGAAAACATTATGAGAATGACACAGTGAGACCGTTTTAAAGGCTTTAGAGTAGCTGGATGTAAGAAGAGTGTCCAGGTAGGATTTAAGTGCTTTACAGAAAACAGAAAATAGGGCTTAGCACCTTGAAACTTACACTTGTGTTAAAAAAAAAAGTTGTGATCAAAAGTTTATCAAAAATAATGGTCCTTAACTTCTTTAGCAAAGTTGTGATGACCAAATAAAACACCTTTGTATAACAAAGAAGAAAAAGCATGTACAAAAATACAGGAATCCTTCCAAAATAAGGTGTGTGCATTCCCAAAAAAACATGAGACATAGATTCATCTTCAACCCCACAAAAGCAACATAAAGAATCATTATCAGGAAAAATGTTTTATATAGAGCTTAACAGGGTAAAAAAAGATGAAGTAATTTGTAAGAAACGTCCTTTACCTTGTTAGTTATTAAATATTTAGATGAGAAAGTCCACACTGTCTTCTGGAGTGTTATGTACAGGCCGTTGCAGTGGGACACAATGTATGTAATCAGGTGAAAATAATGATTTATTTTTATAAAGAATATCACCATTATTCCAAATAAAATAACCATGTGGACTAAAATTATGTTTATAAATTAGATGCCACACCAAAAGCACTTATTAATATAAGGGGCAATTAATATTGTAATTAACATGTAATAACCTTAGAGAAAACAATATTAGGAAGAATATTCCAAAATGAATCAGGGTTTGTTAAGTGCTGTTTTAACCAATTATTTAAGGAGGCAAAATCTAGAAAATGTAAACCACCACATTCATATTTACAGTTAAAGGTCAAAAGTTTACATCCCGCTTTCAGAATCTGAAAAATGTTAATTATTTTACCAAAATAAGAGGGATCATACAAAATGCATGTTATTGTTTATTTAGTACTGACCTGAATAAGATATTTCACATAAAAGATGTTTACATATAGTCCACAAGAGAAAATAATAGTTGAATTTATAATAATGACCCATTCAAAAGTTTTCATCCCCTTGATTCTTAATACTGTGTTGTTACCTGAATGATCCACAGAATTTACCGATTTTCAAATTAATGCATAATTTTTCCTATCGTTTTTCTTAAGAACTATCACTTAACAAAACACACACACACACACACACACACACTCACACACACTCACTCACTCACACACACACACACACACACACACACACACACACACACACACACACACACACACACAC